TTTCAGGGTCTCATGACTTATGTGTTTGACCCCTTTCTCAGGGTCATCTTGGTCATCTACATCAGCAGAGTAATCCTGGTTACTATCTGGATAGGAATCTAGGGACTAGGAATTTAAAGGCATCTAAAAAAATCATAATGACAAAGTATTGTTTTCAAAAAAACTATATGAAAAGTCTACAAAATCCAAAGGAGTTCAGCTTTACTTGACTTGAGATTAACTTGTTAGTTTAGAAATATTTTTAAACAATAAGGTTTCTATTAGTAGTTTCATACTGTGTATTTACTATCATAAAATGAATTTGGGAAATGTATGTTCTAGAATGTATTCATTTCTGAAATAGAGATGAAATACTAAGGAATAATGGAAAGTCTTGGAAGAAAAAGGAAAAAGGGGACAGCCAGCAGGAAGACTCAATTACATTGGAAGTTGGGGTTAGAGGTCCTGGAGAAAATCTTTATGGCTACTGAAAGTGGACATTGACTTGATGGCATATAATAAATAAACTGTAAAGTTTGCAGCAAGTACTCTTTGTAGGGATGAAAAATACAGATGTTTAATCAGCCTGGGATTTTTCCACTTGCATTTTCCACTGTTTTAGTTCTATATCATTTAACAAACTATAATTCTTCCATGGCTGGACTTTGTGAAATGTAAAAATATTTTAGCATTGCCTACTTTTTTCTGACTCGACTATAGTAAGTAAGGTTTTTGTTTTTGTTTTAAAAAGAGGACTTAAATAACTTCCAGTGGTAAAATATTAGAAATCAGGTCTCATGACCTGAACAACATGGGGAATAATTTTATGATTTCTGTTCTTGGAGAACCTTTTTCACAGGTCCCTGTTTAGAATATTCCCTCTTTCTGAGTTAATTGTTTCTACTTTAGCACTTTGTGCTGAAAATGAAACAGTTATTTCTGACATGTTCCATATTGATTCCATATTCCGTTACTCTCACAGTATATCATTATAGCCAATTATATATTATAGTAGCTAATTTGTATAATGAATTCAGAGTAATTTAGGTCAGTAACCTGCATAATTTAAAGAATACCAAAATGTGTTTTTCATATATCTAATCCACTTAATATCTACTTACATTTGGTCATGATTCCAAATGCAAACTACAAATGACACTGAATACACTTTACAACTGGTATTTACAGCCAGCTAGTTTTTGTTGTTTCTTATTTTTCACTATATAAAGTCCATGGAAATAAGCTGCAGTTCTATAGCTTATTGCATGAAAATCAAGATAGAATAATAGTGGAGAAGCAAACAAAAAGGTTATCTTTCTAAATTTTAATGTTATCAAAACAAAAACCTACAGTTTGCTTAATATTACTGAATTTACCCAAATGCACTGATCTTAATACAATTCCTCAGCCCCCAACCCCTTCCATGTGACAAAAAAATGTATTTCTTTTTTTCTATTCTTGGTTAATTTAAGATGACTCAAATGAAATGATCTGGGGGAAACTCTTCCTTATTAACAGTACTTACTTATTAACAGTACTTACTTATTAACACCTTAATAAATTGTTAGGATACAAACAGTAATCCATAACTTAAGGACATTAAAAACATGTTCCTAAGTGACCTGGGCATTACCTGTCTAGAAAAAAATATGTATTAATCCACAGTTCCAACTAGAATTGTAGCTTACAACAGGGGTCTCCAACCATGGCTACTTTAAGATTTGTGGACTTCAACTCCCAGAATTCCCCTACTAGCTTGGGAGTTGAAGCCCACAAGTCTAAAATTGGCCAAGGATGGAGACCCCTGTCTTAACAGTACTCAAATACATGATCAAGGTCTGCTAAGGTCATTGGGCATAGATGGACATAAGATTATGGTGATTTGCATCTGCACTAATTCAAAGACATTTTTCATATTTTCAATATATGATTTATTTTAAAAATAATTGTATAGCATTTAAGAGGTATCCATTTGGAAGTTGTTTTTTTATAGAAGAGTCTGATGATACTCATGCCCATGCCTTCTCTTCTCTTCTGAGACATCAGATGTGTACTTTCCAGCCAAGTTCGCTTATTTGTGCTGTTAACACGGACCCTCTTGATTCTGAGTTCTGATATAATAGAGCCGCCTTTACATCCAAGTTGGCTTTCAGTTTTGAGATCCATTTTGATAGCGAGGCGGTTGTTATTGATATTACTTGCAGTTGACGAGCAATTTCAAAATATTGACAAATCAATTGATAATTTTGGAAATGATTCGCTCTTATAAATGTTTCAACATGTGTACAGATTGCAACTCCTGTTTAGACAGATATTCCAGAGTAGGTATGTGTTACAGTGATTTACAAAATAGGAATGTGCTGAAGAATGTGTGGTTGCCATAACAGCATCTTAATTGTATGTGAGCTGAAAGTCTTAAAAGAGTTCAGAATTCTATAGTTATCGCTCCAAGTTATTGGTTCTATTTTTCTTCCATGTGCCATGTAAAACCATTCATTACTGATTTAACAGTGATATAGAGATACATACACTGTGCATTTATTTTCAACTCAGTGTAGTTGGGACTCCTGAGACACATCCTTCTTGTTAGATTACAAAATTATTGCATAAAAATATTAATTTTTTATTTAAAATACTGACATGCTAGAGGCCAGATTGTCTTTTGGTCTTGTTGGGACTTGATCTTTAGTTGTAATTCTGACCCCAGTAATAACATCCCATAATTCCAATGCTTGCTGTATTGGTAATTTTGTAGTTCTGCTTGAAGTTTTCTAGTTTACATCAACTGTTGTTTCAATGCCATTAACTCTTCTTGTCATTGAGATGCTATTCTTGTAAAAGTATTTAAGATTAGTAATACACTGTGCCCGTACTGTGACAATTGCCTCATAAGATGTTTTATCAGTATTCCAATCAGGAACTGTAGTCTAGATGTAAATAAGTGCAATGCTTAGATGTGAACAGTATTGGTTTGAAGTAGGGATGTGAGGATGTAGATTCAAAAGGAAAAATGAGTAGGAATGCATGTGAATGCTTATGTCACATCTTATGGGAACATTTTAAAGAATTATTTTTCCCTGGGTTCCTACACAAGCACATTCATCATTTCCCCTTCCTTTAACATCATTGTGCAATCCTACAAATGAACATACCACAAAATCATGATAGGCCTTGATTTGCATATATACATGTGTACACATATTCACACTATAATAAATATCCATTGGCCACCACATACCATGTAAAATAAAACTGTTGACATAGGATAAATGAGATTGTATTAGTTTTTGATTTTTTGTAGACTAGTGTTGATCAATCCTAATGTAAAAAATTGGGTTGACACAACAATGAGTAACCATATGAGTACTTTCTGATTATATGTTCACTAGTGAATTTCATTCAACTATCCTTGCCTATATACCTAGTCATTCTCTAACCTTTCAAACAATAATCTGGATATTGATACTCATTCTAAAGGCTTCGGGGAAGGAATAAAAATATACAGTGAAATCTCGATTTACTGCACCAAGGTGAGGTCCATGCAGCAGACTTCACATGCAGCAGACCAAATTTCTTTAGTGATTTATGTAATTTGCTTAATGTCATCATCGTGCAAATGGCATATTTGTAATATAATTTAATTAGATTATCTGTTGGACCAGTCAGTATATATTACCATTCGTTAAAAAAATATTTGTCCATTATTCTTATGTACTTTTGAAGAACATTGCAATAAAAATCATGCAAATGATATAAAATGAAACAAATCACACAATTTCTTATATAATGGGCATTCATATATTAGGACACCCCTCAGCTAAAACGAGGTTTCACTGTATTTAGAAGTCTGCCAGGGTTTGGCAGGATAAATCAGTTGATACCCAGTCTTGTGGGTAAATGCTAATATATAGACAAATGAGGGAATTGTTATATAGTTTAAAAAAGAGTATCTAATCCAAGGACTCTCCTTGACCAACTTCTGCTTAACAACTTGTTCATACTTTTCATCTTAGAAAGCAGCAAAGGAACAATGATTATCAGTCATGCATTCCAATACATATCCTTTCATACAGCATTAAATCATCATAAGAGGAGGGGGTGAGGAGGAATGAGAATCAAGTATGGGGAAATTAACAATAAAAGCACATTTCAATCAAAAATTCATTTTTAATATTTTTGTTTTTTTAAAGGATTTTAGAGATTTTTTTTTCATTTGTCTTTTTACTTTGTTTCATGCAATATTTCACAGTCCCAATCCCACAGGTTTTTTTCAACTTTTTTTTCCCAAACATGTAGGAAAAAAATAAAGAAGCTGAGGAATTATTGTTTTGATGTCATTTCTTTGTCAAGCAGGACCAAAATATCAGAAGAAAATGCTTAATTTTTTTTTATCAATTATTTTTGTCCTTTTTTGTTTTTTGTTATTTCTTTTTTTATTATCTCTGCAGGCAGTAATATTAGGGTTTGGTATAACCAGCAAGCACTCCTCTCTCTGTGTGTGTGTGATATATATGTGTGTGTTGGGGATGTGTATTTGTGCATACCACCCTCTTAAAATGTCAGGTCACAAACTTTTTTTTTTAAAACGTTTTAAGTTAATCAGGTAAATTGAGATGATAAAACTCATCAATAGAAGCCCAGGGTTGTCTTTTTGTTTACTTTTGCATCTTTTAAAAAGGTTTTTTTTGTGTGTGTTGTTTCTCAAACACTTCCAGAATGTCTTTGCTGACAGACTCATCCTGCCTCTCCCATCTGCCCCAGGGGAAAGCGGCTTCTGGTCTTGCTTCGCAGAGGCAGAATGAGGTGAAGGCCGGGGCTCTCGGGCGGCCCCAATTCCCCCCACACCTGAGTGCGTTTTCTTTTGTAAATTCTGAGTGAGGCCCCTCCCTCCCACCCTCAAAATCACTCACCACACACAACTTGATCCGTAAAAGATAAGCATGCTCTGATCTCCCAGACCCCTTGCTTCCCTAGCCTCCCCCCCACCCAACCCCCAGACCCTTGCTCCCTCCCGACCCCAGATTGCCCCAACAAAAAGATAAAAAGTTTCCCTCCCTCCTCAATTGCAGGGTTTTCTCCTCCGGGATACCTTCCGCAATCGGCTGGCAGTTCGTTTTGCTTGTCCGGCTTCCTCTCGCCTCCCCCCCCACCCTGGGGAAATCGCCTCCCTTCGGGGTATGTGTGTGGAGTGCGTGTGTGGCGCGTGCGCGCACGTGTTAAAGTGAAGCCACTCGTAGGTTAGCAGCAGTCGTCCTCGTCAGTTTCGCTGTAAGGTTCGTGCAGTCCTTTGCGTGACCCTGTCCCGCGCGACTTGGCTGGTCCGTGTGAGTGATAGTATCCATTGGGGAGCCGTCGCCCGTGTCTGTAGGGGGAGACAGAGGACGAGCCGCCGCCGCCGCCGCCGCCGCCGCCGCCCACCCGGGAAGTCCTGGGCGAACGTCCTGAGCTGCTCCCCTGCGGCTGCTGCTGCATGGCCTCGTAGGGAAAAGCTTCCTCGCCTGCAGGGCTGCCGTAGTCCCGACTCCGGTGGTAACCGCTGCCGTGGCGAGGCCCCCCCGGGGGCTCGGACACTTGTGGCGTCGACCACCGGCTACTGGCATGGCGGTAGCCGCGAGGCGAATCATTTCGCGGCGGGACAGTGTGTCGCTCCATAGCCGGAGACCTGCTGCGCCGCTCGGAGACGTGGTGCTCGGCAGGCAGCGAGGGGTAGCGCCGCGGGGCTGGGCTGGCTATTCGGCTGGGGTGCACCGACGGCGGTTGCTGCTGGCCCCCTGTGTTGATGGCCTTACGGACCACGGGGGAGTAGGAGATATGTGGCCGGGGTGTAGAAGGGGTCTGTGGGAGCTGGCGGCGTCCTCGCCTCGGGGTGCTGGTGCCAGACGTTGAGAGGACCGGACTCCCACTTACGGAACTACTGCCCTACACGAAAATTGAAACAAAGGAAATCAAAAAGAAAAAAGATACAAGGAAAATCAACCAAGAAGAGACAGGAGGAAAAGGGGGCCGGATTGGAAATGGGTCGGGGTGAGGTTTGGGTGACACAGAGACAAAGGGGGGAGGGGAAGGGAGGCAAGGAATAAAAATAAATGAATGGGAAAGTAATCAAAGCAACAGCCACATCAGGGTGGATTAGAGGGTAGGAAGGCAAGGGAAACACAAAGGACAATTATTTATAATTAAAAAAAAATCCAAAGGAAACCAAAAGCAAAAAAGAGAAATGGAATTTTTGTAAGTTCCAAGGATTTAAAAGTAGTAAAAAGCTTTTAAATTGATCTGTGTTCTTCCAAAAGAAGGAACGAAAGAAGGCATGGGGGAAGCAATTTATTAAATATGAAAGAAATAAAATATTTGTCGGAGAGAGGCGAGGTAGGATGTATTTGCAAAGCATGTTATCAAAAACTGAATAGCAGGAAAAAACTTAAAAGAAAAAATATTTGAAGTTGAAAAAGGAAGTGATAAATTGGGAAAAATAGGGACAGGATTTAGGAAATGACAGGAAGTGGGACAGAGGATTTAACGGGAAAGATGAGGGAAATCTGGAATCATTAATAATAGCCAAACTCTTGGAGGAGACTCTACATAGAGTGTTGATGTTCTGTACCTGAAATGCCTTTGATCATCAATCTTCTGCTCACGTTGCTTACATGCTAATGATAAGATTATTTTCACTGCATACACATTACATTAATCCAACATAAAGCCCCACCACAGATTTCCTAAAAGGCAATGAAGTCCATGAAGGAAAAACAGTTATGTTATATAGCTTGTCTTTGCTACAGTAAATAAATGGAGTAGTACTGTAATAGCAAAATATTGCTGCTCAGGGAGCAAAGCTCTGGGTAATCTGGACCATGGCTAGCTGTCGGACACTTGTGATACATTTAGGGACCACCATCAGTAAAGCCTTTAGGTAAGCCATGTTCTCAGAAGATCTTGAGCAATGTGGGTCTCTTTGGCATAATAGAGCCCAGAGGTCAGAGCCAACTAACAATCCATCTTCAGCAGCAATTCCCAGTTAACTGCATTTTGATGTATAGTTTCCTTCCAAATAAGATAACTTTCTATCCAGCTCTTCACACTATCCCTGAAAATAAGGTATGTTGCAAGAAACATCAATTCCCATAAGTGTTCAAGGCTGAGACTTATGGATCTCAACATTATTAATATATATGTAGCAATTATTTGACTGGAATTTTCAAAGTAAGGGCTTGTGTATGCTTTTATGATTTGTGTGCTACGCTTGCAGCTGCTCTAATTCTCTCCATCCTTCATGCTTCATTAACTGTTGATGTCACAGAGGTCATTCAAGACATTTACTTGAGATTTTCTCCTGCTGTATGAATGTTGTTAATATAAATGAACCCAAAAATTAAATATGTACTCTAAGTAAGATACATTTTACAATTATAAACATAATAATCCACAACTAGCTGACACCTTTCATGCAAAACAATCTTTCATCAACAAATTCCAAGTCTTTGAACTAAAATAAATAGGCCTGACAATAGGCGCTCACAGCACCTGCCATGGTTTTAGAAGTACAGGCTAACAAGATGCTTGATCCCAATAATTCATTGGCATGGTAGATGCCCTGCTACAATGTGGAAAATCTTATCAATTATCCTTTCATTGCATCTATAGGGTTGATGGTAGGATCAGATCAATTTCTGCAAGAATTGATATTGAATTAATGAACTGAAATATGAAATGCAAATTTATTTAAAGATGAGTGTAATGGATAATAATATGAGATGATATTATATAAGATTGATGGAAATGAAAGTATGACTATGTACAAGTGTTATAATCCGGAAACATGTTGCTCACATGAAGGGATGTGCAAAAAAAGAAAAAAACTTTTTACAAAAAAAAAAATTCTGCAAGAATCTTTAATATCCTGTGACAAGACATTTGAAGACACTGAAAAGCCATGCTGTGTTAAACCATCTTGTACAGCTTGGGCCATCATCATCAGGGAAGCCCTGGGCTATCCCTGCCAAATAAGCTTTATCCTCAATATTATATTTTATACTAAATAAATAAATACTTATAATGCTAGGTGCCTCCTGAAGGTACCCTTGGAGTACACAATGACTTCATCCAGGGAACCTTTGTCTGATGTCAAAACGGACAGCAAATATTATTTAGTGATGATACAAATACAAAAGGCCTCTTGTGCTTGGCTAGATTGTGCTGAAAGTATGGGTTTTAGTCTAGGATGAATTATGTCATCTGTAGAAAAGTATGTTTCCTCAGACATTAGGCCCAAAGTAAAATCTGATAACGTGCATCTATTTTTATGCATGAAGAAGTCGTGTATAGATTCACATATAGGCAACACTACTTTTCAGATAAAAAACTACTGCTGATCCTGATCTTTCATAGAATTCTGGCAGTGATGGCATGAGTTGCCTAAATGCTACTCATCAAACATATAAACTATAAAAATATCGGTCAAGTTGATAGGAGCTTAGCTAGGTAGCATTTCTATTTCTATGAGTATTCTATTTCTAGTGTATGCACATAACAAATCTCAGCTATTTTTTTCCTACAGCCAACACTTGGTGAGGTTGGCTGGGCTGAAGAAAATGACTGGTTCTTAATTACCCAGTGAGCTTTCATGGCTGAACGTGGTCTAGAATCTGGACTATATTTACTGCCCTATTTTAGACCCTTTTGGGATATACATCTACAGAATTTCAAAAAAGGATGTTCAAGGATACAAAAACAAGGCAAATCACTACAGTTACCTTCTGTGTCAGTATTTTTTAATCTAGCCTCAGTTATATGTGTATAATGTATGTGGAGTGCTCGTGTACCATCAGGCTTGTGTTGAATCTTAGCAATCACATGAAATAAGATTTTTTTCTAGGTGGATCTGTCCCCAGCTTTGTTCTTTAGGTTTTCCAATTGTGAATTGGTTGCCACTGCAGTTCAGTCCATCCACCTTGCTTGTTGGTCTTTCCTTCTACCTTTTCCCAGGATTGTACACTTTTCCAGAGAGCTAGATCTCCATATCGTGTACATGCTGTGATAATTTGAACCTGCTCATTGGTACCTCAAGTGAGAACTTTAGGAAGATTTGCACAATGGTACTTTTATTTATTTGCTTAGGTGTCCATGATATTCTCAGGACTTTCTTCCAATACCACAGTTGAAAAGAACCAATATTCTTTTTGTCCTGCTTTTTTAAAGTCCAACCCTCATTTCCACAGAGCATCACAGGGAAAACTTACTGCCTCTGTGATTATAATCTGTGTAGGTATAGAGGCATCCCTATATCTGCATAGCTTTTCCAAGGCCTTCATTGTTACTCTACCAAGTGCTAGTATGCAGCATATTCCTGTTGATGATTGACCCTAAAATATAGAAGCCATCCACCACTTCAGTATCTTCTTTCTTAATTCCAAGATTGGTTGCTGTGTTTGTTGTCCTTAATGTGGTCTACTTCAGATTTAATTTTAATTCCATTTTTTTCTGTTGTGCTCCTTGACTTTCATTACTAGAGCTTGCAGATAATTTGTATTTTCAGCTATAGCGTAGTGCCATAAACACAGCAGAGGTTATTGATGTTCCTTCTTTCATTTTAAAAGCACAGTCAGCTTCCAATTAAGTTTTCCTCTGTATATATTCCACATATAAATTGGATAAGTAAGGGAGAGTATACAACCTTCTCTCTCTCCTTTGCTGACCAAGAGCCAACTTCTTCTGCTATATTCTGTCCTTGCTGTGGCCTCCTAACTTATGGATAAGTTTCACATGGGGACAATGTGATGTTTTAGGTGTCAATGTTCCGAGTAATGCATCCACCAAAAGCAGACCTTCAGAGTTGACATTAGGATTTCCATTTTCTAGCATATTTCACAGCTTGACCCAATCCAAGGTCTTTTTATAATCAGTGAAGTTTCTTTTTTGGCTTTCTCAATTATTCAGCATGCATCAGCAATGCTGCCTCATGTTGCTTGGCCTTTTCTAAAGCTAGATTGAATGTCTGGCATCACCCTTTCCATACAGGGCTATAATCTGCATTATATGATCCTAGGTATTATTTCGCTAACATGTGAAATTAAGTGTATAGTGCACAGTCTTTATTGGTGTGCAGACTGATATCTTCCAATCACTTGGCCACCAGGTTGTTCTCTAGATTTGTTGGCATACTTGGTTATAACCTTTACTGATGCTTCTTCTCTTGCTTATATTTCTGTAGGCATTTCATCAATTCCTGTAGCCATCTGGCTTGATAAAGACCAGAGTGCTGATCTAACTTCACTGTCTAATACTAGAGGTTCTTGTAAATAAGGAATATTTTCTAAGGTATATTGGATGTTAATACTTTGGCTGTACAGTGTTTCAGTATACTCTTTCCATTTTTGTTTTATCTTCTTTAAATCAGTTTCTCTTTGTCCCCTGACATTATTTAGCATATCAGTTTCAGAGATCTCTAAGTTTAAGTTAAATTTCTTCCTGAAATTTATTGTATTTGGTTTCTGCTCTCTTCATAGTAATTTCCAGTTTGTTCTGACATCCAGTTTGCTTTTTTCTGTTTCTTGAACTTTTGCAGTCTCTTTTTAGATTCATCCTTAACAGTTCATTTAAATTCATTCCTAATTAATGAGATTCAGCATTTCAGAGAGAGATTCGTGGTGATGTCTTAAGAAATTGTGGATATATGCCCAATGCAGTCTGGAAGCTGGTTGGTTTCAGTGCAGTCTGGAAGCACTGAATTAATTAAGAACCAGTCATTTTAGTGCAGTATGGAAGCTGGTTGGTTTCTGCCATTTAGCTTAACTTGGAACTTCTTTATTTATTTAGCAAATTTAGATAACCAACCATATGAAACTCATCAGCTTTCTCTTCTTTTGCATCAGTGTTTGGAGCATCCACTTGAATAACTGTCATATTAAAAAGTTGACCACAAAGACTAATTGATACTATTTGAACAATACTTGGTAAGGCTAAGGATTATTCTTGCTATACCTTCCTAACTATGAAAAGCAGTGCCATTTCTTCTTTGTCTTAAATATCCCGAAATTATAAACAGTGAGATTTTTAAGTGCAATTTTCCAGATCTATTCCATCTCATCTCAATATTCTGATAGCTATGGTGTCAAATGTTGATTCATTTCATCTTTCATTTTGTTGAACTTTCTCATATTCATGCTCCTTACACTTCCTGTTTTCATTGTAATTCTTTCTTTTCAGCTTCAGATGTTGTTTTCTTGCCTGGCAACATCAACAACTAAACATTCTAAAGGCTTTAATTTAGCCATGTCACAAACACTGTTAGCCCTATGAAAGATCTTCAGCTTTTCCTCACTCCTGGCTGAGTGCCATCTGACCTAAGGGGCTAATAATGTGGCATATATTGTCAATCATTTTATTCTTTCTGTCCATGTGTTTTTCTTGGTAAAATACAGGAATGATTTATCATTGTCCTAGGCAGTATGAAATGATGCATTTGCTGTTTAATGATTTAGTGCAATTTAGCTTTAGAGATTTTAGCAATTTTCTTCCTCCATCATATTCTATATTGCTGCTGCCCAACATAGATGCCCACTAGCTTTAACTGGCAGCTGGGATGATCATCACACTTTGGATGATCCTGTTAGAATTATATCCTCTTGGCATAAACTCCTGGCTTTCTTTAGTCATCCTTTCCAGGAATTCCTCTCTTCCAGAATGAAGCAGCACAGCAGAGCTTTGTCAATAATCAAAGTTCATCTAATTAAAAATTAACACATTAACAGTTCAGATCATAAATTCCACCATATAGAAGAAAGTGGACATTCCTTGACTCAACAGCAATAAAGGAAACTTGAGACAAAGAACTTAAACTTAGATAGGCTTTTGAGGCTTGGCAAAAGGCAGCTTTACTCTATTGTCACAGCTTTGGTGTAGTACAAGCGGGTGTGGTGGTCTGATTAAGGTGTTAACTTAGAATTGGAGAGGTCAATATAACAGGAAACCTCTGTGGTTCCCGGATACTCTGCATGTGTCTAAAAAATGAATTGAGTCCACTAATTGTTGATAGCATGAACTTAAGCAGGGGGAAGCAAAATTTCCTGAAACACCACAAATCATGGAGGATTAGGGTGTATGGAGTGTAGTGAGAAAAAAAACTTCCTAAAATTTACACTAAAATGAGGTGTTTAGGTCACAGATACCCACTAGCATATTTAGAAATTGCTTAAGGGACAAAATTGCCAGTTCTCTAGCACTGCTGACAGGGTGTTTAGGACCTCAGTTTCCAGCATAGGTACCGATTCTGTTTGGCCAGGAACCTGCAGCTGCTCTTGAATTGTGCATGGTTCTTTCCCCACATCCCATCACCACTAAGTCCTAATAAGGTATTAAGTGAACTGACTTATCCTGCATCATGGGATCCGTTTCATCTTTTGAAGACAAAAGTTGTACATAAGATACTTTAAATGTTTCATCCAACAATAAAGTCTCTCAATCTCCTCTATGATTCAATTTAGTTGGAGAGAATTGAACGAGTCCAAGTTTGTGTAAACAATCAGTTTTATCCAGTATCTATAGGTGAATGTCATTATGAGTTTTGGAGTAAGGTACCTTCATTATACTTCTAAAGTAATCAACTTCTGTAGCTCAATCTTGTTTTAGTCAAGAAAGATTGGGTACATGCTTAAGCAGCACTGGATAATATAGTGGTTGTTAGATAAGAGCCAACAAGGTGAATGACAATAAGATGAAGTCACTGTGAATATAATATTTCTTTATCTAGGAATTAGAAATGTTGTAAGTTCTAAACAAGATTATTATTATTCTCTCTAAAGAAGAATACACATAATATGCAAGTGCACCTTGCCATAAATGATTTATGTAAGAAGGAATGCCTTTTCTACTTTCAACAGATAATCGGATACAACTATTCCTTTACTTTCAATGAGCCTTTGGAAAGGGAGGGTTTTTTGGAACATGATTTTTTTCCATTTCAATATGATCTCTTCCTTACATAGTACTAAGAAATCCAAATTAAGGAAAGCAAAAAAGAATTAATGCAGGGGTAAGTATCATGTTTCCCCCAAAATAAGCCCTAGCTTGATTTTTACATGTTCAAGCCCTATTCCCAAAACAAGCTCTAGTTAAGCCCCGCTCAATGTCTGGCTGTATGAGGTGGGATGAGGCGCAGGTGTAAAAATCAAGCGGGGGTGGGGTGGTGGTGCCCTACATGCCCAGCACCTGCTTACTTCATGCCAATAGAGCCGCTTGCTGCAGAACTCTGCAAGGCTCCTAACGTCGGTGGAGCTGCTCACTTTAGAAAGTCACTTACAGCAGAATTTTTCACCTCGACGGAGAAATGACGGAGATTCAAAGCTTTGTGTGTTTAGAAAGAGGATGGTATGAAATGGAGCAATTAGCTCTGTTTCAAACAGTCCCCTTTGTAAGCAGACAAAGTTTTGTCTCCCTCTGGGTGAAAAGTGTTTGGGCAGCTAGCACTACCCCCGCCCTCTCTGTCCCACTGTCTGCTTGGCTGCTGCCTCAATCGGGTCTAAGCTCTCAGCACACCCCGGCCTCTACTCACCCTGCCAGGAGGGTGAAGAGCCCATATGAGGTGCCATGGCCAAGAAATGTTCCAGCAGAAGCTGGCCCAGTAGGCAGGGCAGGTAGAGGTTGGGGCATGTTGAGAGCTTGACCCGTTTCAGCCACAGGCAAGCAGACGGTGGGATGGAGAAGGTGGGGTCAGTGGCAGCTGCGCTCCCACTCCTGTCAGTTCCCTGTTCACCGCTTCCTGCATTTAAAAAAATAAGACCTCCCCGAAAATAAGCCTGAGTGCTTATTTTCAAGTCTAAAAGAAAATAAGACCGGGTTTTATTTTCAGGGAAACAGTTATTTATATTCATTTCTCTCACACACAACCCCCACCTAAATGTCTACTTCTGTCAAATTAATGTATGGAGTAGCTTTAAAATTCAGATTTATAAATTCTAGAAATAAAAATGGCTGATATAATATTATTACTCAGCCATCTACTGTCGTTCCCTAAGAAGTTCAAGGCAACATACATTCTTTTTCCTTCTCCAATATTAAATTTAAACGACAACCAAGTAAGGCTGAGGGACAGTCCTTAGCTTAAGTTACGCCCCCCCCTCCCCCATTTCTGTAGAGTGTCTGAGTTTCAAGGCTTGTAGTGCCTATAAACCATAACCTCAGCAGAAGATAGCAAAGTCCTGGTGACCAGTTACTCCTACATGTGCTACTATATATAACCACCACTTATGAAAATAAAATAATCTTTGGTTTTGTTCCACTTTATTTATTATTTTACTAGATTTCTACCCTGAATGTTTCATAGGAGGAATCATAGAGTTCAATGTTACCAGCATACTTATGTCATCCCACATGTTTGAGATCTATAAGTTAACAGTCCATATGAACCTGATGTCAACTGTCGGAACCCTGACACCTGATATACAGTATATTACCATGAGTACCTCTATGAACTTCAAGTGTAGAATTGAAGTGAACTAAGTTGACATTGAAAATTGCTCACACCGTGACTCCCTAAATCTGAAAATTGCAATACCAGCTGAGGATAGTTATAATTTGTTCCACAATTGTTGATGTGAATACTAGAATGATTGCTATTTTAAAGGTATTCCACACTGATTTTCTCAGTCATTGGAGTCATAGTGTATTTGTTTATTTGGTAAGATTAGGCAAGAGAATGTCACTGGTTCCATCTGTTCTCTCCAGGGCCAATCATGTTTTTTGTTGTTCCAAAAATAAAACAAATTCTGAGCAAAAATTAAATATGTAAACCCACAGTTTGAATAATTCTCAAGCCATTTCAAAATGTAACAAATGCCTACCCCTTGGAGATAAAAGCCATTTGGATAGACATTTGGCAGTTGGGATATCACAAGCTCTATCTTACAACACTCCAAATGTGATTTTATGAATTCATTTTAATCCAGCAAGCTTATGATATCCCGCTGTAAAAAAAGAATAATATGGGCAAAGTACACAAATAATGAAAACTATTAGTGTACCAAGGCAAACTAACCAGGAGGATAAATTAATTGAGTATTTTTAGTTCAAGAAAAGCAAAAACAGAAACAACAATGAATACTATATCTGAAGGATATAAATTGGTCGGCTGAAGAAGCACAAACATGATCCAAGCTCATATCTATCCAGAATTGTAAGCTACTGTATGATGCTAGCTAAATGGAAATCCAGTGCTGGTTAAGAAGAAAGACAAAATAATTGTCTTGCTCTCATTTTATATACAGAAATTCAGTAAACTGACAGATTGTTTTATTTTAAAACTGGCAATGGAATTGGGATCTGCAGGTGAACCTAAGGAGTGCAGACAGTGTATCTCAGAAATCTTATATGCCAATACCGTGCTACCTATTTCTATCTCTGCTTCTACCTTTGAGAAAATAGCATAAATTTATCTTACGGTAAAGCTGGCCTATTTCCATATCCTGAAAATATACTCTGAGTAGCAGATGCTGCAGAGGAGAACTGGCAAGGATAATTATAATTGCAAAAAGTAGCTGTGGTCTTTCAGAAACAACTGATCGGCTGAAAACTAGATCCTGCACGACAATTTTCATAGTGAACCAAAATTGTAAAACAATGCAGACTATTCATCACTAGCAAGTTTACACAAGTAGATGAATAACTGGAGTTTGACACTCCTGAAGCAAATAGGTGCTTCTGAATACTAAAGGCACTTGCCTTAGAGGCACAATATGGAATGGAAAGCCATACCAACCTGCCTATGAGGCACATGTTCTGGGCCTTCACTTGGTGAGCGGGACCATCGTCGATCTCTGGATCGAGGCCGGCTATATTCATGCCTCTCTTGTGAATATCGCTCCTTGTCAGAAGATGTGTGGTGGTGGTGGTGGTGGTGGTGATGGTGGTGGTGCTTCCGATCCTTAGGCCTGCCTCGTTCTTGATCCCTTTCTTTGGGAGGTAGGTCAGCTGACTGTGTAGTCAGACTGAGGTCTGTACCCAGACCTACCAGTCAGAAAAAACAAAACAATTTAAAATCCAATGCATTTGTTCTAAACAAACGATAAGGAATATATTAAGATGATTTGTTAATGCTCTGTATAATAGGCCAGCAAAAAAAGAAAAAGAAGAGTCTGCCAAAATAGTAAAAACACTGAAGACAGATTTTACTTGGCTTGGATAGTCAAACAGGTGATTATTATATTATATTATATCTTGGTGTCCAAGACTTAAGACTCCAAAGTATATATTATATTCTACAGAGTAAATTGCTTTTCTGGGTTATCTTCTTCCAAATGAGCATTTAGATCACTCAAAACTTTAATAAATTGGTGTAATGTCTGAACTTGGACCTCCATGCAGCCAAATTAGGATTGCTTTTCAGTGAACTCCCAACTTAGATGCTTAGCTGATGAAATATTTGAAAGATGCTTGTAAGCTGTGTGAATATCCACTGGCTAATTTCATACAGTAGACTAATACTAAATTGGGATTAACAAAACATATCTCTGTTCACATATTTATTTATTTTATTGGAGTACCTGACTGCAATCACATGATTGTGATTTGATGCTTGGCAACCTGTTCACCAGTTGCCAAGTGCTCTACATTCATGTGATTGTCATTTACAAACTTCTCTGCCAGAAAGTCAATGGAGAAGCTAGCAGGAGAAGTTGCAAACTGTCAAGAGGGACTCCGTCTCATCTCTGGGGTTGTCTGAAAGAGATGTCTGCTGAGGGAGTTAAATTCCTTTGGTAGGGTGCAGAAATGGACTTGAAATCCTTAAGATTTCAGCTCCAATCAAACCCGCCCCCCCCACGTCAAAGGAGTTCCCTTTTGTGCACAGAGGATAGCTAAGCTCCCTTGGCAGGGTGAAAAAACAAAGCTGAAATCCACCAGAACAGTTATTTCTGCATGGAGAGGAACTGAAATCCTTTGGCGGGCAGCTCTTTTGGCCAGCCCCAAGATGAGAAGGAGCTGAAAGCAGACAGTGGAGAAGCAGTGTAGTAAGATAAGGAGTGCAGAGTGGGTGAGTGGGCTGGGATGTCTGACACAGGCTGTGTGTAGAGTGTCTTCACTTAAGGGCTGAAAATTCTGTTGATTTTGGCAAGAAGGATCCAGCTCCTGAACAGAACCTCTTAGGGTCTCCCACAACCTCGAGGCACACAACCTTACCTAAAGCTTTATTTGCTTAACAACCAGTGAGATTGTTTATCAACCAGAACTGAAAGTACCAGGATTATGGTCATTAAGTGAATCGGTCACATGGACATCTCATTTAACTATCGTTTTAATGATATCTTAAAGACTCATTTCTGATACTGAACATTCAGACATCTTAGATGGAATTAGTTAAGAAGAGAAGGGAAGCTAGTATATTCAAAACAAATAATTATTCTCAAGTATATTTTCTTTCTAAAATTATCAGTAAACCCTGCATGGGCCTCATAGACTTTCTTAGAAAATAAAACCAGTGGGAGGCTGACACCCAGTGTTTTCTTTGAAATTATGTCCACTTGAGAGAAGAAATAACTTCCTGGGATGCCACAGGCTTCCCATTCCCTTCCCCAGGATAGACTTCCATTTGTCTTGAATTGTTTTTACCTGTGTCCACATCAGTGTATCGACTCAGTGAACGTTCTGATGTACGGTGAGTCCGCTCCCGTCGGCGGTGATGTCGCTGGCCATCCTCTGGAATTACTCTTTCTAGAGAGTAATCATCCAAGCGCGTACCTTTGGAGCGTGAGTGGCCCAACATGGAGGCAGAGCGTTTTATGGGACTTGTATCAGCAATGGTCTGGAGAGAGATACAAACCCAGTTTAACAATATTAGGGGAGCTGTATAAGAAAGCAAAAGCCTATAGGTTTTGTAAAATGTGGGATAAAGTTACAGAAACAGGCTACTATTCAGCTAAATGTACTCCAGCCAGAGAAATAGAATCATATCCTATCAGACTGTTTATCAATTTTTCTATAACACTTATAAAACTATGGGATATATAAAACTGTTGATATATATACCGGTCTCTCCTGTCATTTGTTCTATGCCTAAACTGAGGATTATGACACCTTGTTACATCCAACTGAGACTCCCTCCTTTTCCAATGAACTCAGGAATACATTATGAAGATTGCTAAGAAGAACACAGTTGTCATAGTGCATTCCTCTCTTGAATGAGCTAAAAAGAAGGTATATTTTATATGAGCACCAACTCAACAGAAGCTTTTTTTTGGTTATGGATGCTCTTAACTGGAGATGAAAGCATAAATTATTTTCTCTGGTCAATGTCATGAAAAAAACTTTGGCCAAAGGAAATGCATATGAAGAGATTACCTATCGTAAGAGAAAGAAAAATATTTACATCCTCAGATTAAACAAATTAAATGGTATTCCATACACTCTATAACCTAGTTCAAGCTTCCACAGATAGAAATGTTGGGGGAAGAGTAGCAATGAAATGAACTTTGTACAAATGCAACTGAAGCTTTGTCTCTTATACATGTGTTGTTTGCGTTGTGATGCTGCAATGTTTCATCACTCTGAAACATGATCAGATTCTCTGATGCCTCTGACCATGCCCTTCTTTTGCTCTCTGCATGTTTCTCTTTGCCTCTGTCATTCATCTATTTCATGAATCTGGGTAGAACCTTAATCACAGTGAGGAAAATTAGATTTAAACAATCTTAACCGATCTGCCTAAAGTCTCTTTTTAAATAAGTATACATATTCTGGATGCCAATATATTCAGTTATTGTGCTACTTACTAACTGCTGCTTAAGAAGTTACTTAAAGCTAGTAACTCTGTCACATGGTTTGTTGAATTCTAATTATTGTTATTTTCTTCCAGAATTTGTAAACAATTTATTTCAAATGTCATAGCACTTAAGACTGGAACCAGCATCAATCAGATAGATATTTTTTCTTCCCCCTTTCCTATTTCTAACTACTGACTTTCAGTTCATTTGAAAGTCAACAGAAAGTCTAGTTTATTGGATCTTTCCCTGTTCCACCTAACCATTACAGAAATATGTTCTGCCAACATTTCTTTTTCTGCCTTTCCCCCAGGATGTTGCCTTTACCTCCTCCTCCATCCCTGAATGAGATTGGCTTAAATAATCCTTAGCTGTATCCATATAACTGTTCCATTCTCTGATGGTTTCTATTAGTTTAGTTTACCTCCACATTTTTCTTGAATGATGGGCACATTTTTGAACAACACACTGTTTGATTACTCACCATTTTAATGTCAATGGGACCTACACAGAACTCAGAGGCATTTTTTTGAAATAAAGATTACACTGGAGACTGGTGCTTCTCAGTTTGTCAACTTCTTAAGTAATGTTTTTTTCATTAAAAGTATAAGGAATAAATAGGTGGAGCTGGAAGTTTGGCAAGTTTTAAGCAGCAAGAACGTCCCAAGAAATACACGTCAAAGGATGATCTTGTAACCCAAAAACATTAAATGCAAAACAATAATTTAATAGAAACATGGACAATTCTATGATGTACAGGGGAAACATCCAATCACATACACATAGCCACTTTGTCTCTTATTTATCTTTACTGCTTTTCATCAATTTCAAAAGCTGTCAGGTTTGGCTAGGCCTGATGCTTGGATACATTTACTCTCAGAGGAGCAGTTCAGCGAGATACACGCTCAAAAAGTTTAAGCAAAAGTAAGCCTTAGCAAAGAAAAGGAAAGAGCCAAACCTTGTAATCACTGCAGGATTTATGATCTCTTTCTATTCATGGAAGGCTTTTGTCAGTGCTGCAGCTTTGGAGAATGGGAGGAAAATGATTTTGCAAATTCTTTTTTTTTTCTAATTCCCCATTTCCCAGACTTCTGGGGAAGATTTAAGAGGAAGGCACAAGGAAAATGCCATCCTTCTTTCCAGACACAGAAGCCTCCACAAGATGATCAAAAAGCCTTTTCTAAGTAAAATGTATGTTTTCTATGTACAAAATCTGTAGCACATTGTGATATTTTAAATTATCATCATGTGAAAAGTATTGAATCCACTAATGTGACTCAGGTTTAGGTTTAAATTATATTTAGAAATTACAGAACTTTATAGATAAAATGCAACATGCATCATTCACTGGTAGGTTAATAAAGATAAAAACAATAGTTATTAAGTATATACTGTATATTCAATTTCATCTACACTGAGTTGAGATTTGTAAATCCAAATTGACCAAATAATATTTACATATAGTAATATGTAGCATTGTTCATCTAAAGTTTTACAATATACAAATAAGGTTAGGCAATTTGAGGGGTTGAATAATCTAATGTTGTCACATTGTCACAAAATAGCTGCAGCGTAGAAGCTTACTTGTTAAGGATTGACAAGTTATATATGGTAAGTCCTAAACCTTTATTTAGCTGAAGGCAAAATGCCAAGATTGTCTTTCATCATCCTTCTAATCATCCCTCTCCCACCCATCCCTGTTATCACTTCAATTTATGTTTTTTTTCTTTTGAGCAAGAGGCATACTTTCAAGTCAAGGACTGTCTTGCATTTGTTCATGTTTAAGAAAAAAAAAAAATCTAACAATGCCTATGAAGTCCTAGTATATGAGGCTAATGGTAACAGCTGGTGTTTCACTGCATGTTGGATTCACCACTGCAATCCTTCAATTTTTTGGAATATATTCAGATAATTCTGTGAGATGAAAAACTGCCAAAGAAAATAATCCTAGCCACATTGCCTTCCCTATATTATGACAATATATTATTTATATACAGTCGTTTTAATGTTTTGTTTCTCTAAATGTGTCCATTGTACATTTAGGTTTTACTTTCTAGTTAAAATTAAGACTTGCAAGTCTAATATTTTCCTTTAAAAATCAGTTTTGATCACAATATGTTTGAGATTGCAGAATGTAGAAAATGGATGAAATAGAAAACTAAAAGTTGAATTTTGGAATTCCGAACAAATCTTGAATTTTTAAAATTTTTATTTTATTGTAATTTGTTTATTGTGAGATATCTGGAGTCACTGAGAGTTGGGCAGCAAATAAGTTTTAAAAAGTTATTATATCATTCATGAATTCAAGCATGGAGGTAAATCTGTAGAATCAGAATAACATTCAGTGATATTTTAAAGTTGTTTCCATACTTTTTGCTCCTAGAAAAGGAGTTGAAAATTTTCTCCTTACCCATAGTTGATTTGTTTGATTTAGTAACCACGATTTTGACTATTTTTATTTTATTTTTATTTTTACCATTACTTATCTTGACAGTTCTATGAACAGAAATATTGATGCCAATTGCAATATCATCATCCTTATTTACTTTGCCTTACCTGCATATCTTTTGTATTACCTGCCAAATTATAAATATAGCTGTTCCTGAGCCAGCATATTATAAGCTTTTCTATACTACCTTAAACAATGTGAAATGTAGCTTCCCACATTCCTTTGAGAAAGGAATGCCAGATCTAATTAAGTGCCTTAGTAGAAATATCTTTTTTAGATAATGCATCTCCAGAAGAACCAAAAGCTTTATATACTGAAAAGCAAAGGAGGATTCATATGAAATATGCCCTCAAGTGGCAGTGCATACAGAACAGCCGTCATGATCTTGAGTACTCTAAATACATCTCTCACACAAGAATTGGTCAGATAACAGCTACTTAAATGCTGTTCTCCAGACCGAACATGCCAGACTTCTTTGCCCAGTTCTTTGGACTATTATAATATATGCTCCGGACCCTCAGATTTTGTTCAAGTGGTGGCTTAAAGAATGAGGGCTACAATAGAGTGGCAAGCTACAGTGGACCCAATTCCCTCTGCAGAGGTCACTTTGCCCTCTTTCTAGGTATTCCTGATAAGGAAGGAAGAAAGCAGTGTGGCTTCCCTGTCTGTAGCAATGGTACTACGAAAGGATTTATTCCCCCTTCTGAATAAGAGTCAGAGGAGGAATTGGGAATGGGTGAATGAGAGGAGCTCCTACCAGATGGTGGGAATGGCAGAGGAGAGGGTGCCTGTGAGTGTGTAAGATAGGGTGAATGAGGGTGAATGAGAGTTCTGTGTGAATGTGTTGTACTGTATGTGGGTATATGGTAGTGTGTGGGAAGGCAGTGGCTGGTGAGGGCACTGAGAACTGGTGATGCCATAGTGTCTCAGTGTGCCCAGCTACCCCTCCTGGGGATGGTAGCTGAGGACAATGGGAGGTTCCCAGTCTCTGATTTGGGAGCCTTTGGTTTTGGGGATGAGGTTGTCATTGGGGGGATGGAGGTGCTATTATGGCAGTAATGGACCTTGCAAATGTATGATGGGAGACTGGGAGCAGGCTACCTTTGGGAACATGGGATTATTGCCATATATCAGTTTTGTGTTCAGGTTTCTTGGTCTCTACCCAGTACCCTGTTAGCAGACCTTCAGTAGCCCTGGCCTCTGCTACTGCTATGGAATTCCAGATTAATCTGCAATAAGGCATCCCTCATCAGTGATTTAAATGTTGACGAGAGGGCCATTCTAGTATGTACCACTGAAATCTAGTTGGGTCTGGAAAGGGTTAGTCCTTTTGGAAATATGCCAAGCAGGAATTGGGTGTGGCATCAGCTGAGACTCTGGGACAGGAGGGTGATAATGTACCACAGATCATTGGGTGTAAAATCCTGTTTATTAAGTTAGACTCTGAGGATCAGTTGGGATTGGTGTTGCTGTACCAACCTCACTGCTGCATAGTTAATTTCTGTTCTGGAGTTCAATTCCATTCTGGATTACACCATGATATCCATGGACCAATCCCAGGTAATTCAGAGCCCATCATGGGACAATGGTCACGCT